ATTATGAAAAATCTGTTTTAACAAGACGCAATGCGTGTTGTTGAAAGTCCATTTTCATGTAGTGTTGTAAATTGAAGGCATGTGAGAGGCACATGCCATTTTCCATCCAACTTAACGGCAAAAAATAACGGCGGACCAATTCTGTCAAAAAATGGCATGATTAAGGACTACTATTGTAACTCCAAAATGTTTAGGGATAATTTTGAAAAAGTGGGTAAAGTATGAGGACTAAAAATGTAGTTTTCCCCCAAAACCCCCCTAACAAATGTTCAATGAGGCACACTCGACCCTTTTTTGTTTTTGTCTGTTGACCGCTCGCGAAAAGACAAAAATGCCCTTCAGATAAATATATCCAACCTCTAGAATTTTATGACTCAAATGAAATTTTCAATTCAGTCCCTAGCACTTTCAATTTAGCCCTCTTCTCCAATTGAAAAAAAAAAACAACGCACACTTCAATTTCAATTTCTCAGCTCATAGCTCAACGGCAGCTGTGTTTGAGAGGATTTTGCAATGGACTTTTCTATTCGTCGGAGAATTCGGCGAAGTGTAGCTCGCCGGACCTCGATTGGCGACGACTTTAGAAAAGATCTGAATTCGCGGCGGCGACTGCAGCGGCAGCAGCGGCGGCGGCAGCGACGGCGGCGGCGGCGGCAGCGGCGGACGCGGCACCGGCATTAGCGAAGATTTCTATTTCAGAAGAAAAATTAGACATATTTCTGGCAGCGGCAGCAGCAGATGAAGTTGCATCTGCAGCAGCGGCGGCGGCGGCAGCGGCGGCGGTCGCTGGGCAACGTCGGAGAAGATGGCGATGTCGGACAACAAAATGGGCGAAGAAGATGAATTTGGGGTTGGTCGTCAGTTTGACGGGATAAAGAAATTCCAATTTCTTTTTTCTTTTTTTTTTTTTTTTTGTTTTTTTTTTTTTGTGTTTTGTTCTTTTTTAATTAATTCATTTATATTTAGTGATTATTTTCTTTTGTTTTTGTTTAAAATGGTACAAGAAAAACTAAAGAGAGATTTGGAGGGGCACTTGCGTCTTTTCACACAAAAAATTGCACCAGCAGTCGCGTTGGTAGCGCGTGTACGACACGAATGAGATAGAGGGGGGTTTATGACTTTGACTACTAATCACAGGGGGGTTTTAGTCACTTAATTTTACCTAGGGGGTTTTTTGGTGTTTAGGAAAATCACAAGGGGTGTTTTTGCATTTAACTCATTTTATAAAACTAGAACGATGCACATGCGTTGCACGTGTCATATTAAATTTCCTATATATTTGCCCTATTTTTTTTTATTTTTTTTTACGATAAATTACGAGAAACCTCCTGAAGTAAGGTCTAATTATGAAAATCCCCTCATGTTTGCGTAATTACAAACATTCCATGAGGTATGTTGCACTCAAATAACAAAGTTTCCCTACGATGTTACTTTTGTCGGAAACTTTTGATTCTATGGAATGTTCTTTCGAAAATGTTATTTTTTACATTGAGGGGATAATTATAAGCATATTAATTTCTTATGGGGTAAAATATATATTTATAAAAATATAGTTATCTTCTATTTTAAAACTATAATGTATTTCTTCATTTCATAATAATTTATAATAGTAAATCTATATAAAACATAATTAAACATATCTTGTAACATTAGAAAAAAATGTTTGTTTTGTATTTTTTTATGTTTTATATTTTTTATTTCAATAAAATCGATTTTAAATATTTTGGAAATACTCTCGTATTTATTATTTTTAGGGTACCAATTATTTTATTTTTTTTCTAATAAATTAATAATCATATTTTAATTTTAAACAAAATAATAGGAAAAATATACATTAAATATAAATAAATCATAAAAAAGAGAAATTGCAACGATCAGATAAGTCAATTCTTACTTATTCTTTCGTGGGATATTAGGGTAACTGTCAATGTATTATATGTTTCGTTAAGATGATAACATACCCTAGGGGAATTTTCATAATCACACAAACATGGGGGGATTTTCGCCATTACACATTACCTCAGAGGGGTTCTCGTTATTTACTCTTTATTTGTTTTCAAAAACAGAAGGGTAAAATGGACAAATCATATTTTATGTGAATTTAAACGGCAATCACTGGTGAGAGGGGAATTCTCATAATCAAGCAAACACGAGGGGTATTTTTGTAATTAGGTATTACCCCGAATCCGTCGTTTTCGGTTATTCTTGGATAGTTGTAATGTTGAAATTTGTTCACCAAAACTAAGGATTGAAATTTGACCCGCCCAGATGGATCCTGCCACGCCCCAAAAAAGTATGGGGCGACGATGGAGATTGAAAACAAAAATTGAGCGGGTACATGGATGGGGACGGGTTTGTAAGTACCCGCGGCCCGCCCCGTGACAAGGCCCGCACGATATTTTTTATGTATATATTTATTATATTAAAATATAAATAATTAAAAATTTAAATATTACTAATCCTAAATAATCCATTGAATTTTGTGATTTGAAGTTAAAGTTGCACTCTGTTGGTATGTTCATTGAACCAAGTTTTTAAATTATAAATAGATTGCATTTTTATTTAAAAATAATTCGGGGATTTTACGGGGCGGGTACCCATGGGAATTTTATGGGTATGAGGATACCAACTCATAGAATCTGGGGACTTTTACGGGGATGGAGATGGGGATTTTCAGAATGGGGCAAGGAGGGAGATTGCAAAACCCGCCTGGATACCGCCCCATCGCGGCCCATCCCTAATCTGAATGAGTTACTATCAGAGTTGAGTCGGCAAAACTTGATTTTTCGAAATTGAAAGCCGGAATTAGACGCACAACCCAACACTAGGCCGAAACGCAAGACTGGCGACGAAATTTGGCGACGCAAACTGTCTTCTCGCGACGCTTTTTTATGTATTGCAACACATTTTTTTCGTCGCCAAATTATGCTAAAATCGTCGCCAAATGCCCCGTCGCAAAGCCAGCGACGAAAATACATTTGCGACGCCAAGTTTGATGACGAAACACATACATCGTCGCTAAATCCGTATTTTCTGAAGAAAAAAAAAATGTGTTTTTATTAGTCGCGACGGATGAGAATATTTTGTCGCACTATGTATGCGAGGAATATAAATAATGTCGCAAACGATCGCTACGAAAATATATTTTGTCGCCACAATTACCTTCAAGTTGTTGAGGGACGGACAACGGACGGCGGTGGACAGAGGAGGACGAAGATCGGCAGCGGCGTTTAGAGGCCGAAAGAGATGCATGAGGGTTGACGGAGGAGGGTTTGTGGCTGAGGGCTGACAGGGGACGGCGGAAGACGGTGGACAGAGGAGGACGGAGATTGGCAGCGCCATTCAGAGGCCGAAAGAGATGGATTAGGGCTGACGGAAGAGGGCTGGCGACGGAGGGATGACGGGGGACGGCGGACAGCGGGCAGAGGACGGCGGGCGGCGGATGACTAATCGGAGGGAGAGAGAGAAAGATAGAGAGGAGAAAACCAAGAGAGAAGAGAGGCGGAGAAGGCAAAGTGAAATTAGGGTCTGATTGAAAACCAAAATTTAACTAAAATCATCCTGCGATGTTTTTACAACTTACGTCGCCAAAGAAATTCTTTTTTTTAAGGAAACGTGGCGACGTATTACATTCGTTTCGTCGCCAGCAAACTACGAAAAAAGAAAAAATTGAAATATGTGGCGACGTTTTCACTGATCCGTCGCAATAAAGCAGGGGAAATTTTGTGAAATTTTTTCCAGTATCATCGTGCGACGTGTTAGCTACTATCGTCGCAAACAAAAGATGTTTTTTTTATTAAAAACTTAAAAGTGGTGACATTTTACTGAAGTCCGACGCCAAATATTAATTATTATTTAATGATTGGACCTTTATGAGCGACGTTTCTCTCTATATACATCGCTACATAAATTATTTTTCTTTTTTTAAAAGAAACGTGGCGATGCACTGTTTCTTCGCTACATTACAAATATAAAAATACAAAATATATAATGCATGTGACATTAACAACATTTCGTCGCAACATAAGTATTTTTTAAATTTTTTTTCAGCTTTGCGTCTTTTTACATTTTTTAGTTGCTAGGTAGCAACGATTGTGGAAATCGTCGCGAGGTCTTTCAACTAAACCGAAGTTGTTGACACACATTGACGATTTTCATTACAAAACGTCGCAACACGAAGACGAACTGGGAATCGTCGCTACAATAAACGTCGCGAGTCTTGCATTTTGGCCTAGTGGAAACTGGTCCTAATTAGACGGTGGAACATTGAAAACCGATGACTACGTTCATGGATTTGTGGAGTGGAATTCTGGTAAGTATTGCGTTAGGAGTCTAATTGCTGTTGCTGTTGTAATTGAATGATAGTCTTGGGAATGAAATTGGATTTTCTTAACGTGAAGTAGTCAACTTTCTTCCTTGTCGCTTGTAATTTTGTAATTTTGTTATTTGTTAAGTGTGCTTCGATTTTGCTTGGAAAGAAGAAGAAGAAAAAGGAAGAGAAATGGAAGACAAATTGGAAGAATATGAGGAATTATGGATTGTAATTTTAAAAAGACCAAAAACCCCTCAAAGTCGCATGTACAAAGCATGTGCGTCTAATTCTGGCTGTTTTGGCCTCAAAATGTGGAAAAGGGTAATGTGGCACAACTTATTGGGTTTGGGTGAGATTGATTTTTTCTTTTCTTGTTGAGGTGGTAATCGCAAAAAGCGGCAAAATTTAGACGGTTTAATGCTATATTAAGATTATTCTTTTAGTATTTTTTTTTTAAATCCCTCCCGTTGCAACAAACATAATCATAAATTAAAACCTCGTCAATTGTTGGGACCATTTCCAAAACAGAATCAACCGTTCAAAAGAAAATCAGAAAAGCTAAGTGCATAAAAGTAACGAAGTAAGTAGACGGGGCATTCACATTTCGAAATGGCTCGGAGTATACTAAAAATATTTTGTAGATAATGATACCATTAATTTGTGCAGGATTACATTGGCTCGGAGTATACTAAAAATATTTTGTAGATAATGATACCATTAATTTGTGCAAGAATACATTTTGTATCCGACAAAGTATCTTCACTGTGTACAAAAATGAAATTTAAATAAAATCGTTCACGAACTAGCTAACTAAAATTCTATTGCTCTAAGACCTAGTATATGTGTATGTATATCAAGTTCTATCTCCTCAAGTAAGAGGTGATATCAATGAATAACTCCTCACTGCAAGGAATTGTGAGGCCACCCATCGGATGATGAAATCCGAATTCTTCTTCAGCTTGGCATAGCAATTCTTGGAACGAAGGATGATTCAAATACGATAGTGGAATGACAAATCGCTTCTTTTCACTCTCCCCAACATAAACGGCCAAATGCCCTTTTGGAACTTCAGTTGATCTTCTTTCGTTGGATAAAGATCGTCTTAGCATTTGACGGATGGCCATTTCTGTATAAACTGAATCTTGTTTACCTCAAATCAATTAGTTTCTTTGAAGTATTGTGAAAAATGAGAAAACAATAATATTTTAATTAAGAAGTTGTTATTTGTAAATGAAGAAATGGTGTTTTATATATAGGCAAACAAGAGTTGCTGTATTCTTCAAAAATCTAGATGTGAGAGTTGTAAACATAGGCAAATGGAGTCACATGGTTTTGTCTTTGAATCATCATTAATATTTTTGGGCAACAATAATTTGTGTGATCGAAAAAAATTGCATCATGTCCCTTAGACGACCATATTGGAATAAATGGGCTAACTAATTTTGACGTCCCCACTCGTCCTCAAATAATCAGAAAAACAGATAACCTAAAATTTGTAATTAAGAATGATTGATTGAGATTGTAGAAGTAGAACTAACTGCTCAAATTATTGAATGGCATTCACTTGTTCAATTTGTGGTTAATAGATTATTCAAATGGAAGATCACACGTTACATGTCTGCCAATAAGTCAGCTAGTATGACGGGCCAAACATACTCGATAATGTTAGATCACATGTAATTGTCTGCTAATCAATTAGCTATTATAATCACATATGAAATTAAGTTACGTAAACAACACATAAAACATAACATGGCCGAAAAACGAATACATGTCATAATAAACGGATAATGAGAGACTTTAGTTGTTTGTAATCATATGCTGTAATGTAGGGTTATTTATGGGCCATAATGCCATAATTGGTAGGATACAACATTTTCATTATGATTTTTTTTGAAAGATCAAACAAATTCATGTGATTTCATATGCGTATGTTTTTTCGAGTTTCATAGAGCACCACATTTATGTACGCCACACGTATCTATATTTCTCAAGAATACATCATTTCTTTATAGGCCTATATATATATACACCACCATTACTTGAATAATAAGAACAAGTCCTCAAAATACTATAGCTTTCTCAGCTTTCGCTTGTTTCAAATACTTCTAATTAAAAGAGTTTTTTTCTTTCACTTCAGCTAAGCAAGATTCACTTCAAATAAATATGGCAATCCGCCAAATTTTGAGACGATCATTATCCAGCGAAAGAAGATCAACTGAAGTTCCAAAGGGGCATTTGGCGGTTTATGTTGGCGAGAGTGAAAAGAAGCGTTTCGTAATTCCATTATCGTATTTGAACCATCCTTTGTTTCAAGATTTGCTATGTCGAGCTGAAGAAGAATTTGGATTCCATCATCCAATGGGTGGACTAACATTTCCTTGCAGTGAAGATCTATTTGTTGATTTAACCACTCGTTTGAGCAGAACATGATATATATACACATACATATACATACAGGTTTAGGAGGATCACGATTTTGTAAAATTAGTTTTTTCTCTTGAGAAGGATTCTTCCTCTTGTTTTCAAGAAAATGAAATGTATAGAAGCACAAAATTACAGTATATACTAATTTGATAACATTTTAAGCCATTTTTAAGATGTCAAAGCATTGTTTGGTTAAATTTGATAATACTAATTCGATACGAAAACAATTCAAATCAATCTTCTGTTCTCTCTTATTCTGATAATATATTAATCTTGTCAAATATATCACAAATCGAATTTTCCATATATTCTTTCACAGGCTAAAAACATAAAAATTGGGGAAATTTCCTAAGAGAAAATTAACCCTCCAAAAAGAACTCCCTTTTTTATTGACATATCAATAACCAAAAACTTGAACCAAAAACTTGAACTTGAATTGTTAGGGCAATTTCCTTAAAAAAAAATAACCCTCCACAAGGAGGCGTATGCTGCTTGTATTGCGGCGAGCACACAGTATTCTTTAGTAAAACGCGAAAGAATAGTTCGTTATGTGCTCAATGCACAACTGCGTATGTTTTAAACAAATCTCTGCCCTTGTATTTATTTCTCTGGCTATAAACTATTTTTAAGTTATTCTCTCTATGTGGGAAACTTGTCTCCTGTTTGTTATATTTAGGAACTCTTATTCTAATCCAAAAGTTTTTATTTTTATTTTTAGTAAATTTTAATCCAAAAGTTGAGTTACCTTCGTCATACTTTCTAACATTAAAAGCAGAAAAGCCGTTTGACAGCATATTTTTCTGAGAGTAACAACACCAACAAAAAAAAAAAAACAATTGAGAGCGAGTATTTGAGAAAAGCATAAAGTAACCATATGCATTTGTTGTGATCAGGATAAAGAGCTTATGATAAGAACTACTAGATAGGTAAGGCATTCACATATCAAAATGTCTTAGAATAAAAAAAAATTCTTTTATATGTAATACCAGTAATTTGTTCAGGAATACAATTTGTACCCGACAAAGTATTTTCTCCGTGTAGAAAAAAAATAAAGAAATGTCTATGAAGTGGCTAAGTATCTTTTGTCTATACAAAAAAAGAAAAAAGAAAAAATGTGAAAGAAAATTCTTTTGAGTATATATTATGCTCTACTCAAGTGAGATGTGAGGTCGATGAATAAATCCTCAGTGCACGGAATTGTGAGTCCACCCATCGGATGATGAAATCCAAATTCTTCTTCAGCTTGGCACAATAGTTCTTGAAACAAAGGATGATTCAAATATGACACTGGAATTACAAAGCGTTTCTTCTCATTCTCCCCAACATAAACAGCCAAATGCCCCTTTGGAACTTCAGTTGATCTCTTTTCAGCCGATAAAGACCGCCTTAGCATTTTGTGAATGGCCATCGATTTTTCTTAAAGTAAATCTTGGTGAGGATGAAGATGAAAAGAAAGGAATGTAGGAGAGCTTTATTGGAGAAGTTGAGTAATAGAAGTTGGTTGTGAGTTTAGAAATGTGTCGTTGCACATACATATATATCCTTGAAAGTGCAGCTGGATTTAGTGGTTACGAAGAGGCAAATGGATATGTGGTTAACTTGGAGAAACAAAAGCACATGATTGATCACATGATTTTGTTGGTATATATTTAACAATCTGCGTAAACGAAAAATACTTACTTGTTTGTCGAAAAACGGAATTGTGAAAAACACAAAGAACGATCGAGGCTTGCCAAAGCAATTCCCTTAAGACAATATTTCCGGGCTGTCAACGGTGCACAGTCTCTTCCCGGTAGTCTCCCAAGGTACAACGATCGGTTGTCGAATATTTGCACGAATATTCGACCCACGGCGAACTTGAACAACGAACGGAATTTTGACGAAAAGAAAGAAAAATATGAAGAACTATCTCTTAATTGCCGATTAAATTCAGTACAGAATTGGAGATCCATTCACAGAGGGATGCAATGGTTGGAGAAGAAGCAGAAGGTTGTGTCTGTTCTTTTTACCGAGTTCAAAAAAACGTAGGAAAATTAATTGGTCATGGGCCAATTAATTAATTTGGTTTGGGCCAAGTATTTTATTATTTGGATTTTGGTTCAAATAATTTAACTAACTACTAAATGTCCCCAAAAATAATATTTGTTGACATCTAAACCCAAACTAGTCCTATCACTCGATCACACCGAGCGCACATCTTTTGAACTTTAACCATTTAATCAAGACAATTTTTATTCACTTTACTTCATGATTTTGATCAAGTAAATAAATGAAATTAATCTTTACATAATTAAATTAATATTACTCAATATTAATTATTGGAAATCATGAAAATTCCAACAGATTTGTCTTCAAATCTTCACTTGATTTTAGAGCAACATATTGAACTGATTCGTCAACTGTTGAATATTTGTTGAAGAGCGCGACATAGGACCCTACAGTTACGACAATAAACAACACAAATTAATCCCGGATTATATGTTTTCTAGCTGGAGGTGGTTGGTAAATATTTTATTGTGTTGTGATTCTTCATGTGCTTTGTTTCTCCTTCCACCACATATTATCTTGCTCCTTCGTCACCACTCAATCCAGCTCAATTCTTAAGGCCCTTACAAGTGTATTTATATATATGTTTATATGACACATTTCTAAACTCAAACCAGCCTTCAAACATCAATTTCTCATATAGTTCACAAAATTCTCATAAATTCTTTCCTTTACATCTTCGGCATCACCAAAATTTATTTTAAACAAAATAACCAATGGCTATTCACAAACTTCTTAGGCGGTCTTTATCGTCTGAAAAGAGATCAAATGAAGTTCCAAAGGGCCATTTTGCTGTGTATGTTGGAGAAAGTGAAAAGAAGCGCTTTGTTATTCCATTATCGTATTTGAACAATCCTTTGTTTCAAGAATTATTGTGCCAAGCTGAAGAAGAGTTCGGATTCCATCATCCGATGGGTGTACTCACAATTCCTTGCACTGAGGAGTTATTCATTGATCTCACATCTCATCTGAGAAGAGAATAGAGTATATACGCAATAGAATTTTCGTTAGCTAGTTCCTTATTTTCTTTTTTCTTTTTTGAATAGACAGAAGATACTTTGTCGGATACAAAATGTAGTCCCGGACAAATTAATGGTTATACCTATCAAATTTTTGAATACTCTGAGCCATTTTGAACTGATTTTTCTCAAAAAAAAATTGCTCTCAACTTTTTATTTAATGTTCCTTGAAAAGCATAGGTTAAGAAATGACTTTCTGTATCTTACGTACGTTCTGACTGCACGAGATTTGTTGTTCCAATATCATTGAATTATAAAACCTGCCACCATTTTAGAAACTGGTAAATATGTTAAGAGGAGAAAAAATTTGTTTTCATGATACCACATATTACTGTCAAGAAAAAATATAGTTATATATATGCTACTATTTTGGCTCAGAAATAGAATCACACGTAGAAAAGAAGTCCACAAAATGTTTATGGTGAGAAAATCAAATTCCAAGGCCGAAACTTGGTGAAAATTAACTCAGTTGTGCACTATTCTTTCGCCTTTTTTACTAGGACGAATGTCAAATAGGCACATGACAAGGGACTTAAATGCATATAGATTCAGACAAAAAATAGTTTTGTAAATAAACCTATACCCGTGTCTTTTGTCTCAAATACTCTTCATAATATATTTTTTATCAATTCTATCCATTATACTCTAACTTCTTCAATATTACACATTGACCCCGGATTTGAACATATATATCACATTAACCCCCATTTTCTGTAGCTGCTGGAGGATGTTGTGGTCAACTAATTTGGATGAAACAAATGTTGGGGGATTATGGGTTAACCAGTGACACCCTGACCATATATTGTGATAATTCAAGTGCTATTGATATTTCAAAAAAATCATGTTCAACACTCACGAACTAAACACATAGATATTAAACATCATTTTATTCGTGATATAGTTGAGAAAAATATAGTGTGCTTAAAGTACATTCCTACAGAAGATCAGCTGGCTGACATCTTTACAAAGGCATTAGATTATGAGAGGTTCTCTAAACTTAGAAAATCTCTCGGGATGTGTACTCAATAAACATGTCCTGAAATATGTTGCAGCACCTCATCAAACATCTTAAGCTGCAACATACATTACTGAAGCTTAGCTTCCTTAAATAATGGCTTCACTGTGATATATTATTCTCTAAATAAGTAACTAGAAGTCTTTCACCTTGAAACGTGATCATGCTTCATGTAAACATTCAGAGAGCAATCATAATCACATAAGCCAAACTCCTCTATCTGAATAGTCATATCTTAGTAACTGAGGAACTTTCAAACTGAACACTTGATCATGTTCCATGTGAATTGTTTGACGTGAAAATAAGAGTTTACAATATATACATATATATGTATATATATATATATATATATGTATATATATATATATGTATATATATATATATGTATATATATATATATGCCTGTTAGCCAATTTTTTTTTCTCACACTATTAATCATTAAAAGATGTGTTTATTATTTATGTGTAAATTTTCGTGAGTGTTATTATTTTTATTACTATTATTATTATTATTATTATTATTATTATTATTATTATTATTATTATTATTATTATTATTATTGAATTATCACTATTTCTATGGGTCATGGGGTACATGGGTTAGTCTTTTTTCTTCCACTAAGTCCACTCCTTATTGTGCCATGTGTCACGTTTTGTTTTAAACTGCCACATAAACTTTTATTCTCCTTAATCACACTTTCTCCAAGAAAAACGCACGCCACTTCTTCACCTTCTTCACTTCAATTTTTTTTTCAAACATTTGGGCTTATAAATTTCTTGCTTCTTTTCGAAAATTAACCCTCAAAAATCAAAAGCACAAGAAGCAATTCAATTTTTCTTTCTCTCTACTGTACCATGTCATCTCCTCCTAGAAATCCTTTCCCGGCCGTTGATGATGTGCACAACGATGCTGCAGCAACTGAACCAGCAGACCCTAATCTAGCCATCATCATTCACCCTGTCAACCTTGAAGCCATGCCGATCAGCTTCATTGAGCCCGACGACGAGCTGAATCCGATTGACCCAGACGTTTTCCAGAACCTTGGTCTCTCTTCCACTGCAGCAAGGTTTCCTACTCGCCGGTCCAAGCGCATGAATCCCTTCCCAGATCTGAATGCTACTGGGTCACAACGCCGGAGGGGAGCAAACTCTCCCAACAGAGGCGGCAGAGGTGGAAGAAGAGGCGGCAGCGGCGGTCGAACACCAGTTAGACCAAACCCACCAAGAGGTCTCCATTTGGTTGATGAAGAAACAGATGATGGAGAAGGAGATCCTACCTTTGCAGAACCAGAAGCTCAACCTCTCTCCTCAAGCTCCACTGAGTCATCTTCCAAAGACTCGACTCCACCAGCATCAACTCAGGGGGAGACACTTCAGCCTAACATGGCAGCAGCCTCTTCTCAACATCCTGTTTCCGAAGATGTTGCTGCACATGTTCCTAAAAATGCTACTGCACCTACTGTCTCAGACAATGCCCCTCAGAGTGCTGTTGAGGATGCTGCTCCCTACCAAGATGAGGAAATGCCAGACTTTTCTGGGATGTCCTCTGCTGAGCATGTAGATATTCCCACTGTTGATGCCCAGGACTTTGCCACCACAGAAGAAACCTCACTGCCTACACCTTCAGCTCCAAATGAAGATCCTCTGGAAACTCCGGCAGAGGCAGTTGTTCAAGTGGATGCACCACCTTCCCAGGTTACAGAGGAAGAGAAAAGTGATGACAGCTGGGAAGTACCCCTTGCCTCTTTCCGCAAGAATCTGCCACCCTCAGAGTCAGACAGTGACTCTTTTGAGGATTCATCTCAGATGGAAGAAGATGCTGCTCCACCTGTTGCATCACCTGAGCCAGCATATATCCTAGATGAGCTTGAAGACTCAGAAGAAGAGGAATCCTCAGAGGATGAAGAGCTAGACTTGGATGGGAAGGATCTGTCAACTCCTTTTGAGGTAAACAATGCTTTTAGTCTCACTTTTGATTTTGAATCTGATTCAAACATGGGTCCTCAAATCATGAATTGCCAATTCATTGAGGAAAAGAAAATTTCCAAGGATGATTTTGATAGGCATAGGATCACTGCTTTTCTTGATCAAAGAAAAATTCTTAGTCTAGTTGACATTGCCTGTCCTTATGATCACTCTGTGGTGAAGGAATTTTATGCCAATCTACAAACCTCCTTTTTGAAGAAAAATTCTCCAAACGTTGGAAAAGTTTTTGTGCGAAATTCTATTTTCTCTTTTTCTCTCAAAATTATCATCTCTCACTTACAAACTCCTACTGTGATTGATGAGGATAATTATGGTGATTTTACTGAGGTTTGTAAGACTTTCTGGAGATCGTATAAAATCTTGGCCTGCTCACCCCAAAAAATTCAAAGTTTCTCAACTTACTGCATTTTACTCTGTCTTGTTCAGACTCACAGTGATGAATTGGATTCCATCCAAAAATGTCTCTGTGATTACTAAACCTCATGCAGTACTCATGTACAAATTGGAGATGGGATTACCTGTTGATTTTGGCAAACTTTTCTTCAACAACATAGGTCATCT